CTTTCCACCCACACCCCCAAATGCGCATCAACAGAAGTCTGCCTCAAAAACATTAGTTTCTGCATTACACAAACATGCACAGTGGGTCAAATTAATACCAAGTTGAATTAAATACCATTTCGTGACGATTAGAACTTACTTCTTTATCTGCAGTAGGCTGAGCACAAGCATCTATCTTCTGACGGAGCTTCTCCAGAGAAGAGTTTAATGTCGCTGCCTGCAAATTGGAATTTGCTACCTAAAGCAGAAGCGGATATTGGTGAAGTGAAATCTCATTCAAGGGATTTTCAAAGGCTCCACTTTGAAACCATTAGACTTGCTGGTAAAAACACTCGAACACTGGTACTCAGAGGAGAAGCTGAAAACAGTAACTCAGAAAAGCAACACTTCACATCCTTCACGGCACCACACAAAAACGCTGGTCTATTCAGACGTGCCTACTCAATGTGCTGCAAGACCACAGTGCTCCAGCGTAGCTGCAGCAGTATCAAAACATAGTTTTAAGCTGATAATGGCAGAAAAAAGATTTTGAATGACTATAAAAAGTCACTTAGTGTTTGTTCACTCTGAATTCAGCTAACATCGCTTCAATAGAATAAAAGAGAAATTATCATAATTCATTTAAACAAAGTTCTGATGTTTCTGTTTGTACCTCTGATTTGATTCGCACTTTTAGATTTGCCAAAAATCGTTGCATCTTCTCCATAAAGACTCGACTCGCAAAGAGATGACGGAGCTTTTTTTCAGACCGGTTGATAAGTTCAGTAGCCTTTAAGAATGCCAGAAACAAGAGACACAACTAATTAAATTTCACTTTTTGAAGCTTAAATAATAGAACTCACCATTTCTACTTATTTTTTCCATCACGTAATTGCCACACAGAACAGTCTTACAGCCCTAATCTGGGAGCAGGCTGATTATAAATCACATCAAACGTGCCAATATAATACATAATTTGGAAGAATGAAACTCTGCACACCTGCTTCAAGCAGCTTGATTCCATTTTCTCCATATCTGTCTTGATTAACCTTTCAAAAGAGTCAATATTCTCACTTTCTCTCTGAAGACGCTTGATGAAAGACTTGGCCTCCTCAGGAGAAAAGTCACCTCCCTTCAAAGACAATCTGAAAGCAACCAGCAAAGTAAAAGCAATTGGCTATGAGTCTTCCTTTTCTCAAAGACTATTTTAGCTAAGCAGCCCTAAAACATAGATATCAACACAAATGTGATAAAACCAGTATAATAATTGTAACTTAACAAAATAAATGTTTTTTTTTTTAAATAGCAAACTTGATGATTAACAAAATAAACTTTAACTTTACTGTTCTGCCTATGCAACAAATGCTGACGCCCAGAAAGAGGGAACTATTTATAAAGAGCACTCCAGTGAAATCTCTCTACCTGCAAGCTTTGAGAAGATCCACATTTGAATCCCTTAATTTTCCTAAAGCTTCCTCCAATGAGTTCCGGTAACTCCTCAGGGAAACCTGGATGGCTTCCAGACGATCTTGTAGCTCTGAGTGCACACTGTCGCTGAAAGAAACTAACCTAACAGCAAATAACAAAAGACAGGGAAAACATACAGAAAGAGGAACAGACGTTATTATTCAGAGCTGTAAAGAGAGGGACAAAATCTGAGAACTCACAAGCGGTTTAGCATTCTGAAAGCAGCTCTCTGAACTGTGATTGTGTTGATGAACCCTTGGAAGATACCAGCAAGCAGTTGCTGCTATCGAAGAGTATCCTTCAAAACAAGTTAGTCAATTGCTATTACTATGCAGGTTCAGCAAACTATGTAAAATCTAAACAGATGAAACATCTTTTCTACTCTAAGACTGCCAGCACTTCGAAAATACATAGAAATTGTCATCCGTTCAGTACTGATGTTAACTTATTCAGGGAGAGATAAAGGAAACAAAAAATATTTACATTTTTCTTTGAAAAAGAAAATGTTCATCAACATCTTCATGAAGCAGTCTTCACTGAAGAGTAATGACATAAAATCGATTCAGAACGCATTCAGGAGCATCTCAGACAGCAATCAGGAGTACTTAACTAAGGAAATCCACAGCCAGCAACACCCGTGGCACACTTACTTCTCAGTCATAGGAGCACTGAGGAAGACAGACTCCATGTCATGGATCCGTGAACGTAAGTCTTCGATGATGTTATTTTGCTGATCACAAAATGTGATAAATTCAGCCTTCTCCTTTTTCAGAGCTTCCCCCACCTCTGAACAGTGGCATTTTAGACGCTCTTTGTGAAGCAACATTTCCCCTGATAAGAAAAGAAATTTTACAGTATGGTCATTCTTCCCGGCTGACTGTGGACTACCACAACCACCAGCCAACCTATTATCAGAAACAGTGGTAAAATAAACCAAGCCACATCTCAGAGTGGTTAAAACATACAAACAAAATACATTTGGTTCTATTTCTTTGACTTCTTTCCTGCATTTGACATATATCCCTGGCAGCTCCTAATCCATTCAAATCACAAAGGTCTTTTGTTTGCTCCAAGTCCTCCTTTTCCTTTATTTTTGGTCACTGGTGACATCTCTATTATGTCTCTGTTCTATCTATCTTTTGTTACAAGACTGATCTATCTATCAGTCTTGTAACAAAACTAAAATGTAAAGGATTTTTTTTAATGGAGAATACACTTCTCCCGTTTTTTGTGTGGAAAAAAAAAAAAAAAAAAAAAAATCACTTTTGGTCTCCCTTCTGGAACGACAGTTGGATAAATCAAGAGCCAGCCAACCAACCTTGAGAAAACTGCCAGAAAAGGCACCTGTCCTCTTTGCAGGAAAAAGTGGAATTCAAAAATTATTTGCCTGTTCTCCCAAAATAGAATTTTTTCATTTATATGTTAAAGACCAATAAACCTGTCTGAAATAATTTTTTTCCACCAGAAAAAACTGACACTTCTCATAGAAAAAAAAAGAGTCCTGATAAGTGGCTAATCTGCAGCTGCTCAGTGAGATCTCATATAGATAAATCCTTCCTCTCCTGCACTCAGAAGCCAAGCCCTGGCACTCTGTCTCTCCCAACACTTGCTAATTCTTATAAACACGTTAAAAATTCTTTTTTGTCCATGGCAAATTCTTGTTAAATCATTTCAAGGAGAATGAGGATTCACAAATATCGACAATAGAAACTGAATGTTTTACATCTTTTACAATCAAGTCATTGATCAAGGCACTGCTGGGTGTTTCCCAAACATAACATAGCACAAACCTGTATGAGCTATAGAAAATAAACATATTTTTTAGCATATATGAGGAACATACTACACTAGGAGTTATTAGACACTCAGCTGCTCCCTACTGTCCTCTACCGCTGAGTCAACTGATGCTGAAACAGATTTTGGTCCACTTATGATCACTTCTAAATGAAGATATGTAATGTTCAGGGTAAACAAAGAAGTCAGTACCAGCTCTAACGTTGTAGATATTTGTCTCTATATTCTCCTGCCTTTGCTGACACAAGTCAAGACGCAGCTGAAGTTCTGAATCCAGCTCCTCTTTCTTGGCAGCTACAAAGACACGGGAGTCGGACAACGACTCTGCAAACCATTTCTCCAAGTGTTCAAAAAACCAGAGGCGAATCCTATGATTGAAAAAGAAATATTACCGTGAGGAACAGTAAGAAATAAATAATTTAGTAAATATATTAATTCTAATAATTTAGCTTCTGACTAGAGGAAGATATGGTTTCATTACCATTGGCACAATACTGGTGGAGTTTTTGAGCGGACTGCATATCACTGAGTACCAGGCATCTTACCTTCATGGCTCTGCAGGGAGTTTGGGCAAATTACTTGCCTTTCTTTAATAAGTTTTCTCACTAAATAATTTGCTGTAAAATATGAATATTCTGTAAGAGGTAAATGCTTGTATGGTACTTTGAGAGCCATGGATGAAAAGCAATATAAAAATTTTCTCTTATTTTATCACTTTAAAAAGAGGAATAACATCAAAATAATTAGGTAATTTTCCCATCATTAGTCTAATGTTTCTTCCAAACAGCTGAAATTTGTCTTTTACCTAGAGGGAAAGAAAGAACATAAACTTTTTGCTACTAACTGTTTCTTCAGCTCTACAAACATAGTTTCTTTGATAAGCACGTATTTCAGGTACGTAGGAAGTGATTCTTCTTTTTCATATTTTGTAAAATAAGTCTCTGGGATGTCAGTCTTTTCTGCCTCTTCAACTCCAAGAACCGTGTAAGAGTTTCCACTTGAAGTAGAAAAGGTCTCAACGGCAATTTCAGAGCTTTCTACCGTGCTGCTCTCGAACGTAGCCTAGGAAACAACTGGAAATCATCATCTATTGCCTTTAAAGGTATTAAGCATAGAACAGTGCACAAGCTAATGTAAGAATCCTAAGGATATTAACAATAACGTTCTCGTTCTCAATTTGGACAGCATTCACACAGAGAATATATGCTTACAAGTGTCAATAGGCAGCCATCAATGTTTTAAAAGGTTTTTGTTATGTTAATAAATTCACATAACTACAGACCTGAAAAACTAATACTTAGATACAAATACAGCTTAAATCATTCACCATGGGTTAAGACTACTACGATAAAAGAAAGATATTTTGAAAAAACAAAAATTCTACACAGGTTTTTACAAGGGTAAAAGCAGTGCAAAAGGAACGGTTACAAACTGTTCTGTGTACTCCTCTTGCCCATAGAAACGATCTAAAGCCCTAATAGTCCAGAAATAAATGAAAACAATAAAAATTCCTGTGTGCTTTGTGTTCAAACTGAATCTAATCTACTTCAAGGAATTTAAGACTTACCTCAGCAAAAAGATTTCCTATTCATCATTATTTTGTGCAAGACTTTCTTTACCTTCAAATTTATTCCCCTGTTCACTCACCTGGGTAAGGCTTACCCCCTGTTCGGCATGCTCAGTTTCTTCAATTTCACGAGGAATAGTCTCCACATCTTCTTTTTCCTCTCTTTCATCAGTTTTCCTCTGTCCAAAGCTCTCCTCGTTCTCAGCTGTACTTGTTTCTTCATTTTCTTGTTGACAACTGTCACTCTTTTCCTCTCCTTCATTTTCTGGCACAATGCTCTCAGCTTGCTGCTCCACCAGACATTCAGCTTCTGAAGCCTTAACTAGTTCTTTCCAGTTAAAGCAGAGTTTTACTGGTCACAATCCAAAGAAATACACATTAAAAACAAGAAAGCAAAAATACCTGCTTGTATCATTGAGGCATTACCTTGATCTTGAAACGTGGAGTCTATCTTTGCTTGCAAGTTCTAAAAGCAAAACAACAATAAAAACCACAATTTAAAAATAAGGACTTGCTTGCTTAGAAGAAACCCATATTCCTCCCCAAAATGTATCTATTTTAGTAAGATATGACAGTCTTGAGTGGATCATTTATCTTCTAAAGAAGCTATAACACTGAAATTGATTATTATAACTTTGTTACCTTGCAGTTTTCTGTTTAAAAGGCAAGCGAATTTGCTGAAATGCAGTTTGTAACAAGGACAGAGCTAAAAGAGTGGGACAGAGAAAGGTTTTGTGTTTTCCCCCTCTATTTCTACCAAAAGCATTTCAATCCTATGGCCAAAACAATGCTTTAGTTCACATAATCTAAATGTTAAAGGTAATGTAAATATTCCCCAAAGTGAAAAATTCATACACCAGTAAGCTTTTAAACCAGAAGTTGTTTATTTTCTTTATACCTGTTTGAAGATTTCCTTTACATTAAAATGTTGGCTGATGGATTCACTATAAGAAATCAACTCCTGCAAAATAGCTTCTGGGTAAGCCATTACTTTATCCGTTAGAATTGGGTGGAATGACTCATACCTGTCAAAATTAAGGTCACTGTTTAAGACACTCAAGTATGTATAGAAATAAAATGTAACATGACTACAGAGACTTTAAATCCAAATCTACCTTTTTGACCAGTCTCATAAAACCTTTAGGCTAAACATTCTACTGCACCCGTGTAGCCATATTTTGGCTATCTGAAAGTTATTAGTAACTTCTAGTGCTTGCAACTTGGAAAGAGATCGAGTCTGTGAGCCCAGAGCAGAGGTGATGGCACAGATCTACTTTCTGATCCCTGGGATTCAAGAATCTGAAGCACTCCTTTCACCTTCTGAATACACAGTTATCCCATTGGCATGGACACACGGTGCACTACATAGTAACAATACTGATCCGGTATATTTTTTAAATGACACGTATTCGTTGGCCTTCTTTAGTTCTGCTCCTGAAATGTGGGTATTATTTGCCTTAACCTTGTTTGATATGGAGATTATTTTATTTTACACACGTACATGAAGTAGCAAGCAGTGTTTCCACACCTTCACACTACAGCATAAACAAGACCTAGGTAGGATAATCAACATTCAAATATGCTTCACTTGTTACATTTGCACTCCAAAATTCATACCTAGCTCTAATGCCATCTAAAGAAGAAAGGGCGTTCTCCAAATATTTATTCAGCTTTTCTTCAGAGCTCGCTGTCCTCATTTTATTCAAAATTATATCCAGTTTAGCTTCCATCGTCTAAGGCCACATAAAAAGAACGCAGTAAAAATGATTTAATAATTACTAAAATGCTTCATAACTATTTAGGATTCAATTAATTTAATTATGTACATATATTCTACACCAAGAAGGGAAGCTACCTTACCAAACCTTGTGGATTTGAAGATCTTTCATAGACAACGAACAACATCTTTGACGTTGCCACCCCAAGCTGCACAATATACCCAGAACATGAGAACTTGACATACAAACAAGACTCTACCTGCACAAGACCTTAGGAGTAATAGAAAGTTGCAGCCACTTAATAAAGAAAACACAATGTTTATCACCGTTGTCACATCAGGAATAAGATATGAATGCTCGTCAGCGTGAATCAAGCAGTTAGCAAAAAAGGCACCTGACAGGATGAAACTACCCTGTAGAAATTCCAGTATAAACGTCAAAGATTACGTTTTAAATTTTATACCAGCTATTTTGAATTGCAGAGCATTCTCTGCATGAGGAAGTCCTTTCTTTACATCATACCACAACCCTTATTTTTATGTTTATACCTGTATTAAGTTATCCCGTTTCCATCTGCATTTGTCTAATTTCTTCTGAAGTTCACCTTCCTGCTCGGACAGTCTGAGTTGATGGACATCCCAGAGACCCATCACCTCCTGAAAATAGCTGTACAAGTCTCTACAATTCTGCTCGTTCTGTTTAGCCAGCTCCTCAAAGTCTCTCTAAAGAAACACATTTAAGTGAAATGGTTATTACTAAACTGTTTGCTGGAAGGTGAAATAAATGAATAAGGGGACCTATGGTAAAAGGTTGCCTGGGAGTACACTATCAGTATTCAACACAGTCTCTTCTACTTGGAGAGGAAAAAAATAGTCCAAAGAGACTGGTTAAGAATTTTTGTTCTAGAAGCCAAGATATCAAAACTTCTGTTTATTCTTCTGGTACTGTAAAGCACAGACTCACCAAGTTCTGCATACCCCCTTAGGTAGCTGGCCATCTATCATTTTAGGAACAACTGCCCAGTCATTTTCATGTACAGAATCATAGAAGATAGGATTGAAATAAATTTGAGAGATCATTTAAATCTACTCCTCCGCCTCCAGGCAGGATGAGCTATGCCTAATTCATCCCTGACAACCTATCACAAATATAAACCAAACAATTATGAACTCTTCTCCTTGAATCACACCGAACTATTTTTATTTGTGGGGCTGTTGTTCAGTCACACCGTGGACCTCTTTCTAATGTGACATCAATAGACTAAGATGCACGTGGCATTTCAGGCAGTAGTGCAGGAAGAAGAGACTGCTCCCAGAGAGTAATAAACACAAATGTAATAAACCTACGTCCATATGCTCCAGTTCTTCAAACTGACTTTTTAGTTTCTCGGTCAATGGAAGTAAATCAGAATTCACAATTTCTTCAGCTTCTTTGTTTGTGCAAACATTCCGATTCAACAGATTATTCTAAATGAAAAGAACGCCAAGTTACTGACTGTGAACATAACATAACAAATATTGTGTGGCGTGTAGAGAGCATGGCTAAACTCGGTGTTTCTTCTTTTCTTGAGAACGGTCACAGATTCCTCCCCCGGGATCTCACATTCTGCTAGTAAACAGTACAATTCTATTCGGACACAAAGGGAGAAACTGAGAGAGAGATGGAATTTCTTGCCCAAGATAAGACAGACTCAGCACAAAGGATGAGGATTCTCACCCCACACCTCCCTCCACACAAGTCCTCTACCTAAATGTGGGACAGTACTCCTTCCATTACTGGCATTTGTTACTGCTTTTACACATTCCAACGCAAACACCACGTGCCACTGTGAAACAAAACGGACAGCAGGTTTGCTAACAGAGGTTAAAAAGTAGTTTCACTTGTCAGCTCCACGTTTGGTGATCCTCCAACACCTCTTACTGCAACACCACACCGTACACTGTCACCAGCAATCCTTCCCAGCATTCGCCAAGCTCTGAACTAACCTTGCACAACTGCACTTCTGCTGAACATTTTTGCTGGACCATCTCATACTGGACGCGTATTTTCGTCAGGCACTGCGCATGGCGGGTATCTGAAGGACATGCGAGAACAGGCCATTGCAAAGATTTCTGTATTTCACAGCGCGGTGTGAAACGGCAGCAGGACAGAGGACCTGTGCCGAGTCTCAGCACAGGTAACGTACGCCAGCAGCATCTTCACCCTCGTACGACACTATCAAATGTTTTAATATAAATTGTTTTATCATTATTCTTAAAAATAGTGAGTTATTTATAGTCCCTAGCAACTTCTTTGCTACTATACAGGCTCCAAACATTGAGAGGGAATGTGCTCAGGAGAAAGAGAAGGGAGACACACGGAGGGGAGGCCCACTACAGGGCCCAGAGAAAGGAAGCATCTCAAATACTTCCCTGCTCAGTTCTCCAAGAGGTAAAAAAAAAAGAGTCTTTTTATATGATTGGGAACTGATCTGCATTAAAACCAACCTTCTGCTTTCCCTAGATTAATTCTAATCAAGTCAGTTCCTGCTAGATCTCACCATGCAAAAATGCTTGTGCTGGCAAAAGGGAGGCGATGCGAGGGATGGCCTATTTTGGTTGTATCGCTAGCTCGGAGGCACTGAGAAGGTAGATGGAAACACACAGAACAAAGAACACAGCAAATACTTTCAGAGCAACTGTCTGACTCATTACTGCCTGGAAAAAAAGAAAGAAAGAATTGCTTGAATTCCAGACTGCTTTTATGATTTCCCAACTTACCTATACTCCTGTTTAAATTCACCAAAGACGTGTACCATTCATCTATCTCAGCTTTCGTGTGCGTCGGAGGCAACAAGTCACTATCAAAATAGGAAACCAGAGTCAGATATCTTCAAACATAACCCCGTGAGTCCTTAAAGGATAAAATTATTAATCAGAGTAACCAAACTACTGTGATTTATCTTATTTACAGCCACACCAGCAATGAAAATAAAACAAAATGACTGCTGTTTTTCAAGGCCACTTTCTAACAAAAGAAGTTTAGGCCCTGCCTCACTGCCGTGTTATACAATCACACGCTGAAAGGAAGCAAAGTGCGTTTTGTAGTCAAGTCCCTCATTAACTCTAGAAAGAATTCCATTTTCCTTTGTTCCTGTTCTCTCTTTTGTCATACCCAAGGTGCTGTAAAAACTCCAGTCTCCTTTGACTAAGCACAATCTGATCCGTTATCATATTTTCCATCTCTGTTTTCACAGTCGGGGGATTCTGTATTTCTTCACTAGCCATAAATTCTCTGTAGGATGGAAGAATACATCAAAGTAAACGTCTGTGTGAAAAAATTTCATGTTTGAAATACAAATAGCAGGTAAAAAAAAGAAGGTTAAGTTCTTTTAGCTTTTTAATTTTATAATAGAAAAATGATAAAATATTACTGTTTACAGAAAACACAAGTGAACAATTGTCACTTTGTGTGATTCACACTCCAAAATATAACTGTAAAATTTCCGACCTGAAATTGTGAACTACAGAGTTCTTTTGGATGAGCTTCCAGTCCTTGACTCTGTCTTCCCATTTCAATCGATGAGATAATTCTGTCTTCATCTCTGATTTCATTAGATTAAAGAACAGTTTGGCAAGTGCCCTCTGATTAGCCAACAGTGCTCTGTTAATCAGCTGCGTATTAAAAAATAAAAAAAAAGGAATAAAAGCAGCATATAACATGCAAAAAAAAAAAAAAATTGCCTGATCTATGCAAAACGAGGGAAAAATACAAATTATAAAAAATACTCAGAAAAACAGAAAACTCTTCTATATTGCAGCAATTGATAGGTAGAAATAATGAATTTCAGCTGGAAATAAAAGATATTTGAGAATATTCAGATTGCTGTCTTCTCACAGGTAAAACAGACTCAGTACGAAAGATTTACCATGGCCTCATCATTCATGAACCTGTAAACATCAGCTGAAGAGAAGGAAGTTCCCTCCAGTATCACAGTATACTTCCTCAGCACATCTGTTATCTGTGTGATAAAAGGACAAAAAAAAAATAAAAATCCATATAAATCAAATGGCAGTTTTCCAAGTTCAGCAATGACATGAACAAGACATTTTTTTCCATTAAATAAATTCAATTGGCTGGTAGACAGATTGAGAAGTGAATCTTAAAATACCATCTAAAATAATCATTTTTTTTTTAAATCATTCATAAAAATAGTAACTAAACCATTCCATTTTTCTTACTACTCAGCTGATTTCTCTTTAATATCTGTGATAATTGAGTGCTCTGCAGACAGGCTGCAATCTGAATTTAAAAATCAAGCCAACTTCCTTTCAAATATCTGTAGCGAATCCACCAGTGGCTGTTTTAAGCAGACACGAAACTTAAGCAAACACGGTCATCTCTGGCGTTTGTCATAACTAACCAAACAGAGAAGTTACTGGTGATGCTGTTGGACATCAGGCCTACATTGCAGAGACGGGGCAAACTGACAGAGGCGTAACAGGGAGCTTTTATTTGCCTACAAGGACAAAGCAGCACGGACTTCTTTGTGGACCATCCATTGATTATCCAACCATTTACAGTGATGTCCCATGACTTTCACAGGTCAGGCTGGAGCCTACAGAACTGTGGCATCTACCGACACCCCGCCTACCCAAACTCAAACCAGCGAGGGCACCTCTGTGCTGGTTCTCCGCTGCAGAACAGGTACGTCCCACCAAAGTAACATTCGACCTGATGACAGTTTGACCTAAACAGCCCTGCCAAAAACCAAAAGCAGCTCACATATTCCTTGCATCTTTAGTGCAGGAATTGTGGAAGAAACCTTGTAATTGGCAAAGAAGGATCTTCTCCTGATTAAGGGGGTGTAAAATGAAAGAACGATCTATTGGTGAAAAGACCTACACAGCAGGACCCCTGTCAGACCTCTGCCTCCTGTAGAAACAAGCTGCTCTCTGCTCTGCATCCAGCATTATGAAGAAATAATAATCTTATGCTTAATTAACAGCTATTAAGTCTACAGCTCACTTTATCAGCTCGACTCCTTTCAACCTCTTTTAGGGATTCATCCATTTCCCTAATCCACGCCTTTCTGGTCAGGGATTCCTGATGGATGATATTCCACAGTTCTTCCAAACCCTGCAAGAAGGATTTAACTCTCAATCTCCTTGAAAAGTAAATGTCCAAAAAAATAAAAATAAAAATATATAAAAAAAAAAAAGAAAAAGCATTTATAACTTCAAACTACAGCAAGACATAAGGAGCTATGTTATGTTAGACAGAGCGGGTACAAATAACTGAAGAGGAGATAATGGCAGAAGCTGCCTTACTTCAATGGAGAAACCTTCCAGAGTAGTGTCACACTCAATCTTTTCAAACAGAAGTTCAATTTTTCTATCAGATTCCATCAGTTTTTTCAGCAGCAAATTTCCAGGCTCCAAAACAGAGGGTTCCAACTCCTAAAAAGGTAAGGAAGTCAGTCTGATCTTCTCAATATTAGGCCCTGACCTTAGGATAGTCCTCTAGACTATCAGGGTTACAAAATCCAGTCTTACCCTGGCAATGCAAGCAAGCTCAGCGTACATCGAGGTCAGCGCTTCATCGCGACGGCCGTGCCAGCGCTCTGACAGGCATTCCAAGATATTACTCCCCGTTTCCTCAGTAACTGCCAAGAAAGAAACAAGGATGATGTAGCTTGGAACTGTTGCTGCAGAATACCTCATGCAGGCACAATGAATCACTGAATCCACACTCTGACCTCTGTAGTTTGTGCAGCTGTTACAGTGCATGACAGCTTTCCACGGGAAATCTATGCAAATGTAGGTTAAAAATAGTAAAGCATATTTTAAAATTTCCTTGGGATTTATTAATTTGTGATTTTCAGAGGGATAACAGCATGGAAGCTATGAACTAAGTTCAGGTACGATGCAAAAAAAAATGTGACTTCCAAGAACGAGACCTTACATCATAACTGGAATTTACCACCTGAACACAAACCGTGATTGACTGACAGTTTTACAACCATTTTTTTCTATGAGCAGACTCTCCATCTTCAAAATTACTTACAAATCATCAAAAACGTGTCAGGTCATTTCTGAGCTTGATTTTATACCTTGTCCAGCTAAAATCATTATATGTACAGTGGCTCCCATGAATGCAAATTAAAACATCTGACATTAAGGGAAATCAATTTTACCAACAAAATCAGGTAGGCCTCTGACTTCCTCAGCTGCAGTTATATCCACACTTTTCCAAGCCCTTTGAAATGCTGTGGCTCCTCTGAAACAGAAAGAGAATAAAGCTTTGCTTTGTACTAGATATGTAAGAGAAGGGGCTTGCAGTGGGTATAACATTCAATTTAATTAGCAAAATGTAACATTTAAGTGAACATAAGCATCATCCTAGCTTCCAATAATATGATTCAAAGAATCAGTGTTGCTGCTTCTGAGATAAATTGAACTGAGTAATTATCTAGCCTGGGTTGATCACAACCTCAAATCTGCTCTGATGGTAGAAAAGCAGTAAGTGCTAGATTTAATATGGGTAAACTAGAAAGACATCCAGACCATCACTAAAAGGTATAAAAATCCATGAACTGTTATGGAAGAAGCAGCAAGAAAAGTGGAACTAGCCTGTATTTGCCCACTGCTTTTCCCATCAGCTGGGGCACTGTGTTTCTGCTTGGGGGAAGCGAGAATAAGGGCATCATGATTAGAGGGAAAAGGGGGGATGCACTAATGTCTTTTCTTGCTCACTACATAATCATTACTGCATCATCCTGTAAACCATTAACATAGTTTCAAAATATGTATCAGACTGGGTTTATATCTAGATTGCTTTGAACAAAAAACCCCACACAATTTCTTTTTAAAAGAAAAGCCATACAATACACAGGCTGTTGCAGATATTAGCCTGTTGATCTGCACTTTAACAGGCAGCAGCTCATTATACTCAATTTACATCGGGCAAGGAGACAGTCTATTACAAGTCGTTAGTGCTGCCACCAAGAATTCAGGAGTGTCAGTGCAAGTCTTACAACTTCCTATGTACAGTCACGAACGTATAATTGGGGTTTTATGCTTCTGTTCTCTACCTGTGCAATGGTGGCGTTGCTGTGCAGTCATTGTAGGGCGCTTTTTCAACACACTTCTGCTGGTAACACGGTAGTAGCCTGGCATCAGTAGAAATTTCTGATTCCCTAACCAAAGTGAGCATTTCTGTCTTTATAGGAGACCTAGTCTTGTTCCTTACTTCTTCCAAAGAGCGCACTAACTGCACCTTCAAAGAACCATAATCAAAAGCATTAGAATTCTTTCCAACCTACTGAACAGAGAATAACAACAAGTCAATTGATAAAAATAGCGGGGGAAAGGCAGCAGAAGAGAAAGTTAAAATAATGAACGCTACTTGGCACATGCAGAACAATTTTCAGCCAAGGCTGCTTTAAAAATGAGAAAATATCCCTTTCCTCAGAGAGGAAAACTGAAGCAAACGGGACTGTGTGCCTTGCTTATGGTTACATGGAAAGTCAATGGCAGTGAGAAATGCCCGATTCTGGCTTACTATGACTCTTAAATCATCTCTGCTGCCGTGTCATAACGGTTCTGTCTTCAGTTAATGTATCGTGATACCCAATGAAGACACAGGAACACTCACAGGAAGCATAAGCTGAAGGTGACACCATTATTTTCTACTAAAACAAACAAAAAAAAGAGAGGTAGAAACTGACCTCGGGTTTGAGGCCCCCACCCAACAGCCAGCAACCAAGCGACCAACGTAACAAACTCATTTGGCTTTTACCCCATCCCTTCTTCGTGGTTACCTCAGCCTCAAAGATCTGTTTGCAGACTGCCCCCCTGGGAAGGAGGCGCACGGCTCCCCCCGGCCGCATGCCGGCCCCGGGCCTTGTTTCCAGAACAATCGCGGTT